AACTCTGGAAAAAATTCACCAGCAAATGGGTTTAATGACTACCGAACTCCAAGTCCAAAGATTAAGACAAGCAGTAGCCCAAATAAATCAAGCAGAAAACCAAACCCAAACCAATAAAATGTAAAATCAACCATGTTAAAAAATGAACGTACTAACCAAAGTCAAGAAACAATAATTTTCACAGTCAAAGCAACCAATTTTTCGTCCGGATGATTCCAAATTCTCTTTACGGAAAAAATTGAGCATCAAGGGCAAAAAGTAGTGGGGTTGTCCGTTCTCCGAACTCAACTAAGGGGATATTCTTTTCGTGAACTAAAAGAAATTTTTAAAGAAAATCAAACCTTCGAATTCGGTGTTCCTGCTAATAGTCTAACGATTAAAAAGGCACCAGATTCCAACGAACGTTTTTATTTAGAATTAACCCAAGAAATTTGGGAAATTAAAAAATTGTCTGATAAGGGCAAGAGCAAAGAAACCACAGTTGAAGACGAAGAATTTTCTAGCGAAGATGAAATCGAAGAATTATTTGAGGATGTTTCAGATAGTCGATCGAACAATGTTGTCGAATGGGTAAAATGTGGATTTGATTTATTACAAATGACAGAATGAATTGAGGTTGGCTTGGAATTTGCTGACTTTAATTTGGCTGCTTGACTTACGCAAAAAGGTTATATCCCTCAATGAGTTCGTCGCTTCGGAAACATCAATGAGTTAAGAAAAGAATATCAAATTTCCTTGGAAAATGAAGAAGTTTCAACCAACAATCGAACATTGATTGAGAGAGGGGGAGAACAAATTTTCGACTTAACTAAAATTAACAAATCTAGTAATGAAATTTTGGATAAGTTTATTTCTTTAACCAAAAGAGGGAAGGACTCGAGCTGGTTGCCAGTAGACGTTGGAATGGAGAGAATTAAAGCTTATCTAAGTTTGTTGGAGGAAAAAAAACTAGAAGGTGAGAAAAAATTAGAAGAACGGCAACAAAAGGTTATTCAACAACTAACCAAATCGCAAGAAGTGGTTCAATCGCCTCCCTTTCTATTTCCCTTCTTTTCCCGTTCCGAAAAAGGCCCAGAACTTTCAGACTCGGAATTAATCCGGGCACTTGGTGAGTGGGAAAGTGTCAATGATCACCAAAGAACTTTTTTCTCGGTTCTCTCCTCAAACCTCATCGATTTTTGTAAAACATTTGGAGACCGAATATCCAAATCCCAACTCAAATTCAACCAACAAATAACTAATCTCCAAACCCAATATATTCAAGAAAAACAAGAATATAATCGATTAATTCAAGCGGGAGAACAGGCTTTAAAAAGGCAAGAGGGGATAATAGTCGATAAGGAGAAAAGAATATTAGTTATTGAGGAAAGAGGTGAGAGAGCATTGAAAATAGTTTCTAATTTATAAGTTCATCTTTGTTCTCCATCTCTACTTTCTTCCTTAATTAGTCTAAATTGTTTTGGCATGACCACCTATCCTATTTTCTTTAAAATTAATTTCTGCTTTACAAGGAGAAAACAACTCACTAGCATAGTTTACTAACGTTTCCAAGTCAAAGTTATCAATCCAGCAAAACAAGAGTTTTTGGGTCTCATATTTTGTTGTTTTGATTTTTCGAGCAATTTCCTCGGTGGTTAAATGGTTACGAAATTTGAAAGATAATATTTTCTGACAAATTTCAAATTTAATTTCTTCTAATGGAGTAGGATTTTCAGGCAAGTCCTTGGCTACTCAGGGATAATTAGAATTTGGGTCTTCAATTTCCCGTAAGTATTTTTCGAATTCTTGGTCATTCATAATATGTTTATTTTACAATGTAAAGTTCTCATTTGATTTCATTATACTAACTACTCGCCTATAAACTTTACCATTGTAATTATCTTCTCTTTCTTCATATTCTAGTTCTAATTCACTGGGATTGCTAGTTAAAATTTCTCAGCCCGCTTTAACTTTTCTTTGAAAACAAAAATAAGCCTCATCTGGATTGTCGTTGTTAATAATTACGAAATATTGTTGGGAATGCTTGTCTAATAAGTCTTTAATTTCGAAGTTGGTTAGTCTGGTTGTTTGAGCGGTCATTTAAATTAGTCTTTTTTAGCAAGAATTTGGGCTTGGAACTCTTGTTGTTCTTGACTTTCGCCGATGTTCGATGTAGTAAAGTCAATTACTAATAAGTCATCATCGTACGGTTTACTAACCGCTGTTTCAGTACCTATAAGATCTATTAGTTGACTAGTATAAATTGCTTGCGGGTGAATTGTATAAATTAGATTATTAGAATCTGAAGAAAAAATTTGATAACCTTCCTGATTAAATATTCCTTCTTGTTTTAGTTTTTGATATTGTTTACAAAATTCACTACTACTTCAATTATTATAAATACCCTCGCACAAACGACTGAGGGTTTTTTCTAACTGGCTAGCACTGGGCCTTCGAGAGGGGTTAATATCTCAACAACGATTAACTAAGTCACGTAATAATTTAGGTAACACAGTATCAAGATTTGGTCTTTTGTTATCAAACTTTATGTCCATAATTAGAAATTCATCATGAGGCACATCGTGATAAGGAGGTGAACCTGTAAATACTTCATACATAATCATGCCGAAAGAGTAAATATCAGAAGCCCGAGTATAAGGTTTTCCATGCAAAACTTCGGGTGCTACATAAGGTAATGAGCCATAGACTTTTTTTCGATTAGTCTCGCCGATTGGCCGGCATAAACCTAAATCAGAAATGATACTAATATAAGAAAAACCGTAAATATTGTTGAGATCGTAGTTATCGTCATTAACCACATTTAATATATTACCGGGATGGAAATCGCAATGAACCAAATTTTTTTTATGTATCTCATTTAAACCTTTCGCAATATCATGCAAGTATCAAATTTTTTCCCAAAATTTTAATCTTTTTTTCTGTAAAAATTGTCTTAGATTTCCCTCTTCTGCATAAGGTAATATCATCGCGTAATTTTTAGACTCGGGGTCTTGGGAAATTCCATAACAACCGATAGTCAAATGGCCTGCAAGAAGATTATAATTAATAATCTCACTCAAAAATTCGAAACTGAGGTTTCGAGAATCATTAAGAACTTTTAAAACAACTGATTCATAATTCTTGTGATCTCTATCTCTATGCCACTGATTAGTTTCATAACTTCAATGACTAATTGGCCCATCAATTCATTTTGCTTTATAAACTTTGCTGAACCCTCCATCGGCCAGATGTTCAATGTTTTTAAATCTAGTGTAGGGTATTCACTCTAATACTTTAACTTTGTTTGTCGCCCTCAATTGGTGTTCTTTGATAAGTGTGTCGATTTCATGATTGCCGCTAGTTCACTTATAAAATTCTTTTGAAAAGTGTTGAATATTACAAAAACGACACCAGAATTCATTATCGTTAGGCTGAGAACATCCTTTGCATAATCCAAAATTTTCGTATTTTTCTCTCAACTCTGGATTGGGAATCAATTGTTTTAGTAAGAGTTTCTGTTCAGAAGTTAGTTCGGGTCAACCTTCTCATTCATCACAAGGCCAATTTTTTATTTGCCTTATTATCTCTTCATCTAATTTAGCACTTTCAACACGAGTAACGTACTCACTGTATTCTTTTCTCAAAATTTCTTCATAACCATAAGTGAACGGAAAACCATAAGACGAGAGTTGTTTTTCATCTCTAAGCCAAGCACAAAAACCACTATCTTCAACTTTAATTTTAAGGCACAATCCTTCCAATCATTCTTTGCATCATTCTCTATCAAATCCACTGTTTATTCATTTTTTAGACAGTTCTTCCGTAAAATCCGGATGAATATCTTTCCAGTCTTTGGTCATAATTTTTGCTTCTTATTATACTGATTTTTTCTTCTAGAAAAATTCCCCTATAATCTCCCGTACCCACATTTCTTTCTTAACCAAACAGTCTTCCCAACCAA